ACTTTAAAGAAAATCTTCATTTTTTAAATATTTTTTAAGAATTCATCTTACATATGGCAGAAATTCTTCTTTTAAGTTATAAATTATCACATACTTCAATTATCTCAATCCTCTTCCTTGTAATTATTACGAAATTCAATCAGCAGCTAATTATTGCTTCACATAATAATCCGGCAATTCGTTGTAATAATAAAGAAATATTACGAAAAGAATAAAGCGCACAAGAGAGAAAGATGACAAGGACAACTTGTCTTTCTTTTTGAATGATTTGTCACTGTGTAATGCAATTGTTGTGAAGAGAGACTATGAAGATTACTAATAATTCATACTTTCTCGCTTTGTTTGCCCTGATTTTCATGAAGTTTAATGTATTCGCAACATGGATATATTCAAATATAACTTGCTACATTGCAATCTTTTCTCACGATTATGTCGTAATCGTAATTGTTTTGAGCATTAATGTGATCGATTTGTTGCAATGCATTACTTCAATATTATGTAACGCAGATCATTACCCCAATTTTTTTATCAATAAAAATTATTTATTGTTAGGACAAAATGACTTAACCGTTTCTTCTCACTTAAGGGATACCGCCGGATCGTGAGACAATTGTCGATGTTATATATATAATACAATAAGTGGATCCGGGCATGTTTTACGAGGGAACCAAGTGCGGTGCGAGAAGCGCGATTGAAGTCTCGCGCTCGTGAGAACAAATTTGATATAATTATCACGGAAGCATTGCGCCGTCTTGGAACAACGTTATATGGAAATTGTACTAACCGTATATATAGATTTTTTTGCCGCATTTACAATAACATTTCTCAAAATAGATTAAACAAATTGGGAAATCATATCATATACATATTTTTAACTATTTATTTCGTTAATGAATGATACACCGAAAATAACTGTTCAATAGTAGAAATATCAATGTTTCTTACTCACTAAAAAAGCAAAGTGAATAAATTATTAAAATAAAAAGAAATAAAAAAAATAAAAACTAAATATTTTATCAGTAAAAAACATAATTATTAAAAAGTCACAAAAATCTCAGAATCCTATCTCTTACACAAAAAACTTTTTACACTTAGATTAATATTATAGTATTAATCTGAAAAATAAAAATGATCGAGATAATGACAGTTCGGTACTTCCAATGTTAAATAACGTCGCTATCAAGGATTTCTTCTTATATATAAACGAAATTTTTAAGAGTCTCTTTCTCTTTTTAGTTCTTTAGATATACGCTTTGAAATATTGCAGATTGTAAACATATTATATACGTGTTATTCATGGAAATAATTAGAAAAAATATTATGATTAATTTTCATATATTCATACATTCATCTCAATGTGAGAACTTATTCGTCATAGCGGCGAGTGACGAATGCATTGGATACTGCTATTATAATCGTAATCAGTTTTTTCTACCATACGTTATTTCCATGTTTATTCTAATTGCCGTAAATTCTATAAAAATTTCTTAAAATATTCATAAAATAGATGAATTCTAATAGAGTCAATCGTTAGACTTCATTAACGATTAGTTCTAGAGGAATAGATGATTTTGCAATGCGTAAACGATTATCGCAATCGTATTAAATCGCTGATGGATTTCAGCAGAAATGCTAATACGATTATATGTATAGTCGCGTATAAGAGCCTTTCTATGTTGAACTAGGATCATTGATGGATATCGCAAGCTTTACCCATCAACCGTCTTATGAAAATGAAGATACTTCTCTCCACAGTTTTTTTTAAGGTTTAAAGTTTATTTCTTCTGAAATTTTTCGAAATTATACAATTGCCGCTGTTGTTTGGTAAATTTTCATTATTTAAAATCTCATAATGCGACCATAGATACAGGATTATTATTGAATTGATAGATATAAATATAATTCAATTTATAAATTTTTAATGTATTCAAGAATCTCTAGAGTTACAAGTGCAATGTTCAATGGGACTAAACTTCGCATGGAATATAGGCAAAAGGCGAGGTGGAAGAAACGAGAGAGAGAGCTGAGAAATACTCGCCTTAGGGGTCCACATCTAGCATCCTCAAGGTTTTGCAAACTGAAATCTCATCCGTTCGTCCGTACGATAACTTAGCAAATAGCTATGTGGATGCTATGCATCCTCGCCCCGGGACTCATCGCGGCCGACTCTGATTGCTGCGGATTTTGTGGACGTGTGCATGTGGACGGCACCATGTGTGGGAATTAAACAGGAATCGAGGAATCTCGCAGTATCACGATGTGTATGCGAAGCGAGAAGTCGATATCGGCGCCCGCTTTTGTCCCATTCGACGTAAGCTGCGCGTCAACTACCTTTATACCACCCACGCGATGCAGTAACTCGCACTTTGCAGTGAAAGCACCATAGAGGAGAACGTGCGAAGACACGTCGTGTCACTAGGTACGTCCAATGATTACGCGATGACGCAGACTGATTATGAATCCGAAACGGGGCGAGCGAAGAACGAATGGAATAGCTCGTCCTTTGACAACGACGGAGCGCAACGTCATTGTAATGGTTTTCATACAAAATTTACTGTAAGTAAATCACAGAGATTCGTCAAAGAGGTAGAGATTCACCAAACGGGTAAAGATTCGTCAAAGAGATAGAGATTCATCAAAGAGATAATATCAATCAAACTCGTCAAGTCAGAAAATATTTTTAAAAAACTGCCGTAAGGAAATTCATTAAATAAAATTAAAAGAATCGAATAAAAAGAAAAATTGTTCATTCGGAAAATTTATTGGAAAAAAATATCAATAACATTTTTCGTTAATAATATTAATAATGTTAATATTAGTTTTTAAAACATAAAAAATTTATTTATTTAGATTTTCTTTCTGTATCTCTATCATATGACGGGAACATCATGCACAGAGCACTCTAAACGGAGTGCTCTTGTCATTAAATTCGCTTATCCTTTGTCAAAGTACGATAAAATCAATACGATCTACTGCCCTTCTAATCATTCCGGATAACCTCGACATCTCTACTGGAAAACAAAGCAAGGGGCTTTTTGTTTCAAAAGCATTCTATATGTATGTAACGAAGGGTATTATTCTCTACAGCTTTCCGATATCATGCATTATTTATTAGGAATCACTTCTCTTTGATCTCACAATTAGGTAAAGGTTTAAAGCTAGAAACAATCGTACCATAGCTTTACAAATGCAATTGCTCTACAATTACTTATGGAAAACGATGAAATTATTTGAAGAACTACAAATCTATATATTTTATATTATAACAAATTATGTATATATATATACATGCATATACAGAGTGACCTAAAATTCGCACATTCGGGGCACGGGACATGATACTTTATGCTAAAACAAACAACTTTTTCCTTTTGCAAAATTGCGTCTGACAAGTAGTTATCGCAGGAGAACAGGTTGAAGTTGTACAAGTAAACGCAAAAATTATTTATTGAATGTAATTTTACTACAGGAAAAAGTTGTTCGTTTTAGCACAAAAAGCAACTTTTTCCTTTAACAAAATTGCGTCCAATAAGTAGTTTTTGCAGGAGAGCAGGTTAAAGTTAGCAAATAAGCGCAAAAATAAAATTATTTATTGGACGCAATTTTGCTAAAAGAAAAAGTTGTTTATTTTAGCATAAAATATGTTCTGTATTCCGAATATGCGAATTTTGGGACACCCTGTATATAAATAATAAATTATTAAAATTTATGAAACTTTTTATACATACATTTTAAATATTTATGAAATATTTCACAATAAATAAATATTTGAATTTAGAATATTAAAAAAATATTTGCATATATTTTCATGTCTATAATTTATAAAATAAAATAGATTTTATCCATGACTTTGCATTAATTAATTAATTAGATATAAATAATAGCTTTTCATGATTTTTTGCCACAAATTTATGTAGAAATATTTTTTAGAAATAATAAGAAAAAATGTTTCTTTTTAATAATTCCTCTTGTTTCTCCTCTTGTTTTTCTGTTCATTTATATTTACTAAGAAAAGATGATATAAATTCTGCTTGTATTTTAACAAGCAAGGGATATAATTGCGGCAGCAGCGTACATCTATTTTATCTAAATACAAGTAGATCGAGATGCAGAGACATCCTCGCGATATTTCTTCTCTAAGGCGATCTTCGCCGTCGATTAGAGCAACGCGAAATACACAGCACTTCGGTAGACGTTACTCTACTTGCAGTATTTCACTTTCACTAACCCCGGCCTCCCACGAGCTGCTCATCTCCGCGAGATCCCCCATCAGGACCCCCCTCTGGAGGAGGCCTCCTTCAGTCCCGCAGCGGGTCACTTACGTCGTGAGGTCGTTCCACGGATAGCGCACCGCTTATGGATAGTAATGGGTCCGCGCTAGATCCGCTGCCGCTATTTTGGACCCAACCTGTCGATATTTACTTTAGGTAATCACTCGGGGTCGAAAAGGTCCAGTTGCCTCTCCTCTTCATCTGACTCTTACTTTTAAAGGTGGTTCCTGCTTTATTTGTGGATCTCCCATATATAGGAGATTATACAAAATACCTATTGTCTTCAATATTTACATAATATTATAAATTGAAATATATGTACAAAAAATAGTTATAATTGTTTATTAGTATGAAATATTGTATATCTTAGATTTGTATTATTCTTTTGAAATAATTATTATTAACGTAAAAATTAACTGAATAAACTATATTATAGTTGCAACATACGTTATATGTATTTCTTAAGATTCAACAAATAAGAAATCAGTGCGGAAGCAATATCCGATCGTTTCTCTTACGATTTTTAGAAGTACAGACGCCCCGCACGAAAGGATCCATCCCATCGCTATTCGCGGTTTCGCGAGCTTCCCCACCTTGCATCCCGAAGAACAGAGGAAAAAAGGGGGCTCGATCTGGAGGAGGTCGAAGGATGAGCGCCGGGGCTCATCCCTGGTGGGGGCGTATCAGCACCCGGGGTGCTATCCAAGGATATATATGCCGATGAAGTTACTTCCACCATCAGTCACTGTCTTGACTTACCTCAGCACTGCGGTGTGTTTTGTACATACGGATCGGTTGGGTGAGTCCTCGACATCACTTCATCCCCCTAATGACACCCACGATCGCGCTTTTGCCCGCTGTTCAACTCTGCGAGTACTCGCGTCTATCGCATGAATTGGACCCTTTTTTTCGATCTAACCAGTGTAATTCGCCCCGAGAATTGAGTTCGTTATTACATTTTTTCTCTCTAATACATCTGTGAGCGCGTATCCCAATGTGGCACCGATAATACGCACGAATGATTCGACGAAGGTCCCAAACTTCCGTGCGCAATGCTCGGGGATAGAATGAAGAACGAACGCAGTGCATTAAAGCAACACGGTCAGTGATTTCCATTCGAGCGTATCTTGGAGTTCCATTTTCTTGTTAATATGTTTATAATACCTTAACCCTTCGTATACACAAGGGAGTGATGTAAGTTATAGCAGTAGTTATAGCAGAGTAGGCGTATATGCTTATCAATGTTTTATGTAAATTTATAACGCGAGGAACGTGTAAAATATCAAAATTTTTTTCTTTTTAATATTATAACAATATCACACTAAATTTCTATGCATATTTAAGATTTTAATAAAATTTCTATATTAACACAAAGAAAAAAATTAATTAATTTCTGTTGTTTGGAAATTATATCATTCGCTTAGTTGTTTTAATTTAGTGTCAAAATCAATCAATGTGATATGTAAGTAATATAAATGTACTGAAATTCTCCATTATTTAAAAAAATTTTAAAAGCATTTTTAGCAGAAATATCATCCATATTTTAACGAGAGAAATAACTTTTTTTACCAACAAACAGCAAAATACATATAAAATAAAATTTCATTATTTAAAAAATACTTGATGATTTAAAACTTTTTTGGCAGAAAAGTTATGCGTATTTTAGCAAACAAATTGCGTTTTTAACAACAAACAGCATAACATATCTCATCCAATAAAATTTATTTATATATACAGACGGAATATAATTTTTGAAATTATTGCAAATCACTGCAAGTTTTAAAATTTTAACGTCGATCTTTTTGAATATTTCTACATAAACTAACTACATATATATAAATGTATGAAACAGATCAATCGATTGCACTATCTTTTCAGACTCGCCCACTCCTTGAGGGTGCTTGCGCCAGCAAATATGCGGTTACGCTTGCTCTGGATCGGTAAGATAAAAGTGATATTGGTTCAAGATATTGGGTTCATCGCATGGCTTTACTTCATGTAATCATCTAATGTAGTAACCGGGTTGTTACGTTAGCACATCATCAAGCACATGGGAAGAGCTAACAAAAAGCGACGCAAGAAACGTCGCGGCAATATCCGTCGGTTTTCCTCTGGAGAAAACAGAAAGATTAGCAGAGATTGCAGTGTCGTGGACAGAGAAAAGAAAGTTCGCAATTTGTGACGTGTCCCAACGTCAAGTATAACCTTCGTCTCAATAATCGAAGGAGATGAAAAGTTTCCAAGCAATTGTTAAGCAATCCTACACTAACTTACACCTTCCGTTCATCGAATTATCGTACCGTATAAGTTCTCATACGCGCCATTATGCACCACGCAATCGGTATGGCATTCTTTGACAATGTCTCTTGTTCGTGTGACGACTGCAAATCACATCGGAAAGATATAAAAAAACAGAAAAACGTCATGAGCGCGATCATCAATCGCAAACATAAAATAAAAATTTTCTAATAAGTATGTTTATTTTTAAGTATTCTTATATTTAAAAATAATATTTGTTCTTTTTTTTAAATGTTCTCTCTTATTTCATTTTTAACTTTTATTGAACTTTCTGTCTCTATAAGTGTAATTTCGAACTATAAAAGCATATTATGAGCACAAGTCGTAATTATCATAATTATAATAACAAACAAAAACAGATACGTTAAAATATTACGTACTAACTTTGAAGTATGAGCTGTTATAAAGAAATTTTATTTCTTGAAACTATTTATTTTTTTTATCAAGTAATGTCTAATAGAATGAAATGTCGTGATACGTACGTTTTTTATAATTCGATTACGATATTACAGTCCAAACGAGTTTTAAATTTCGATGGAACCTTCACGCAAGGTCTACGATATTTTTTCGTAACATCCTCTAATTAAAATGAATTAGAGATAAGCCAGTGCGCCATGAGCTGGTATTGTTCCAACGCACTTTTACGTATTACGGGGTCACCATTTACGCTTACAATCATCCGCACTTAAAATAAAGGTCAAGTGTATGCAGCGTACCGTGTTAGCGCAACTTCTCTCGCTTTGCTTCTTACGAATCTTAAGAACAGGCACCGTTCAAGATCGTAAATCTATGAAAAAGGCGAGCGCTTGGAAAGCCAAAGAAAAGAATAATTCGGAAACAAGCTAAACTTTTCTAATTTTAAAGTCAAACTATGAAGTATGAATTATCGTAGTTTCTTTATATTTGAATTATAGTAACTATATAGTAAAGAGAGACTAATTGAAGGTAATTAAAAGAGATTTTTTTACGTGCTGCTATAATGGAATTACGTTACATTGACATAAAGTAAACGTAACTTTTTGAAGCGGAGATACTGGGAGATACACTAGAGATAAGAAAAATTTGTAGTCCAAGGAAATATAGCCTAAGATGAGTTAAGCCGTTTCCGTTACGACTTCCCTTCGGGCAAGTTACGTCAATACTCTGACGATCGTGCAACACTAGTGTAACCACGTAACGGTCAAAGATCCTCTCAAACGATGCATCGAGTATCGTGCTCGGATTATCTTCGTAGATCACGCGAGGTTCGGCCATCTTGATCTCCGCCCCATTGTTTCGAGGTAACCAAAACCGAAGCTATCAACCGACAACAGGAAGGTGTACGAATAATGGTATGCGATACTATTGCTTGAAATAGCCTTTTGGCCAAATTATGCGTAGTATGGAAATAAATAACGTATGGAAGATGAAAGAAAAAGATCTCCGGCAAAATTATTAATACATTAAAATATGGAAAAAAATTCCCACACGTCGCTCACGATGATCATAACTGTTCAAACAGTTTTTTGTGCTTTTAGTCCCGTTCGGTAATATAGCCCATTAAAACTGGAAATCACTTGAAAAAAAAAGCGTTGCTATTAAATATGCCGTTTATATTTCTATACATAATTAATTTTAAAATAAAATTTTATTAGCAATCTAATATAAAATTTATGGATTACTGTCTTAAGGGTAAGCCTGACATTGGCTAATTTTAAACTAGCTTTTATTACAATTACTTCTATTGATGCAAAAAATTGATTCAATTTTATAAATATATAAATAAAAAATAGAAAGCTAATTCAAAATTGAATTTTGGTTGATAAATTATTGAGTTTGAAAACAAAATTCATATTTAGTCTGACAAGAAGTAATTTTCTAGAATATCCATGACCCGCTATGACAACGATCTTATTTGAGCCATAGAGGTCAATCGTATTTGCTAAGTTACACCTATTAGTCTACGTCGAAGTAAAATCACCATTAGAGGTTAATTTATCAACGTCAACGCCTAAGGCATCATTGACGTTTGAATCGTTTGATAATTACAGTTATTCGTTAAAAATGATATTCATCACAAGAGGAAAATTTAATCAAAATTTTCATAATTTATTTTAATTATAATTTCGTCCGTTTTTTGCAATGCAAAGTGTAAAGAAACGACGGTCTGAATCGAGCGGCAATAAAGATCTTATATATAAAGTAATTTAATCGCATACAATGTTAGTATGACAAACAGTATAAAGAATATAAGAAAATATAAAACTTAATATAGTGAGTCGAACGTTTCAAAACTCACAGAGTCTTTCTTCAGCGATTCATGAAAGATGTTACATGGTCATAGAGATGAATAATCTTACGGTCAGCGAGACATAGTGTGGTACAATTGTTTCGAAGAATTGATTTTCCTTCCTGTTTTTATGTGATTGTGTACACAATTCACATGAGAACAAGAAAATCAATTCTTCGAAGAAGTAAGATTATTCATCTCTATGACCATGTAACATCTTTTATAAATCGCTGAAGAAAGACATGTGAGTTCCGAAACATTCGACTTACTGTATTAAGTTTTATATTTTCTTATATTCTTTACTGTTTATCATACTAACATTGTATGCGATTAAATTATTTTATATAAAATTTATCTTTATTACCGCTCGATTTAGACCGTCGTTTCTTTGTAATTTATTTTGTTACTTGCGTATAATAATCTCCGAATCTATTTTCAATTTTAAAAATATAATATATATATATATATATATATATATATATATATACTATATATATTTCTGAAGTGCTTAATCACAATTTTGATATTCCAAAAATATTTTTTAATTTAAAAACTCCTAGATTCTTATAGTTTAAGGTTTACTACCATATTGTAAACATCGCGTTATGCAGTGCTATGCAAAAAGTCTATGCTGCGGCTTTTATTTTTTGTCCGTCAGAAACGAAAAAAATTTTCGCTTGCGATGCGTAAGTTAAAAAATGAGAACGGAAAAATATGGAAACTGTGAAAATTTTCCTTTTTTTTTTTGGTTGTTGGCAAAACATGGTATTGGAGAAACTCGGCAACTCAATAACATACAAATCTGCCAATGGCCTGCACGTTGAGAAGTTTTTGGATTTGATTTTGTTTTCAATAATGATATACTTAATGCCATTATATAGAGAAATTAAATATATTTTTCTCAATAAAGTATACTTTATAATTTATAAATAAGATGATGTGGAAACTTAAGGAAAACAGTGCTGAAAGATTTTCTTTCTGATCACACGCGTTTCTTATATGTAATTGAAATAAATAAGTATTATTTGAGAACATCACTTCATAAAGTTTACAAAAGATTACCATTTGGATCTTCTTGCATGCCCAAGAACCAGAGTTCTGTATCTGCTTAACAAGTAGCTTGCGTGATCCGCGAACCGGTGTCATTGCGAAAACGTGCACGGTCTTCACAATTCTCGTGTAACACACCACACGCACTCGTGCAGTTTGTTCGTACTGTTCTCCTTCTCTCTCTTCTGCACGCGCGATCTTTTCTTCTGCGTTTATCCCTCTTCATTTTTTTTGATGCTATTTACGTATGGGCAAGCGTGCGAAGAACCCGTAGCTTCTCCGTGCCTACGCTCTGAGCGCGCTCGACAATGCTCCTTAATTAATTAGACGGGAAGTTATGTCAGAGATTTTTCAAGACACATTTCTCTTCTGTGAGATTCGCACGCAACCTCTCGCCATCGCGACGAATTGCGGCTGTTACTGGAGGTGGCGTCGGCGGCACACAGCCGTTAGCACTCGAGATAATTGATGTCATAATCAAAATTCTTTCTTTGATGGATTTGTAACACGCTTGTTGTAATAATTACGTCCGATAAAAAAAGTGCAATTTGTCAAGGTACTCGAAAAAAATAACATAGTCTTGTTTGATTTGTTTCAGTCTTGCTGGCTGTCACTCGTACAGCTTTGGTAAGTAATTCTTAACTATTACGTCAAAATAAAATATTTAAATAATATATCTTTTAACATAATTCGCAATTTTTTACGATTAATTTAATTTATTTATAAATGCTGTTTTTTTCACTTTCTTTAATCTCCATCATAAAAGCGGTACGTTAAAGTCGATATAAATCAACGCGATGTAATCATTTTAATTTTTCGCGATCAACACATCTCTTTACTCCTTCTTTCCCACCTTATGAAACAGTATTTTTAGTTGCGCAACTTTATAAGCACTCTCATATTAATCAGTCGTGACTGTAACTGTTGTAACTCACAACGATCACAATGATCGAGGAACGAGAAGACACTCTCCTTCAAACTTTTCTACAAGCACGATTCTAACGATGCCGGAATCTATAAATCTGATATAATTAACCGTTCAAGGGTATCGTAAAATTTCAACTAATACTGCAATGATATTAAATATAATAAACGTATTTAAATCAGATTATATATGAGTAAATATGTATTATTTGTATTATTTATAATTAAAACATTATTTACCTTTAATACTAAATAACTCGATAATAAGTTTAATTTCTTAAAATTATTTTATGAAAAAATTATTACAAGTTAATTTTTTAAGAAAAAATTATTTATTTATTTTATTTTTTTTTCCTTGTTTCTTCACAAAAAAATTACGTTTCTTATCGATTCTATTTATAAGTTAGTCGACATTCTCTATACGTCATAATTAACGTTACAGGCTGATGACGAGGGATATAATTACCCTAGACCGACAAACCAACTTATACCAGGTACTTCAGGAGGAGGAACTGGCAAACCAGGAGGATTTCCAACTGCTCCCGGAGGATATCCTTCTGGTGGTCCAAGTACACCTGGAGTTCCTGGAGAACAAGGAGCTCCTGGTGGACAACCTGGAAGACCAAGTGGTTATCCATCGGGACCACCGGGATTTCCAGGACGTCCAGGCGGTGCTCAACCAGGGAGACAACAGCCTAGCTTTCCATCGGGTCCAGGACCTTCGGAGGGATATCCTAGTGGACGACCATCGATTCCATTTCCGGGCGGTGAACCAACAGGAAGACCAGGAACGGGTCCCGGTATACCGAGTGGACCAAGTGGACCAGAAGGGTTTCCAACAAGGCCAAGTGGTGGATATCCTAGTGGTAGACCTGGTGGGCAAGTACCAGGTGGATTTCCAAGTGGGCAAAGACCTTCCGGATACCCGAGTGGTGGGCCCGGCCAGGGAAAACCAGGTCCTGGATATCCCACTGGTCGGCCGGGTGGACAAGGACCAAGTGGAGGATACCCTAGCGGTCAAGCTCCTGGAGGTTATCCCGGTGAAACACAGAAGCCTAGTGGCCCCGAAAGTGGATATCCTAGTGGAGGGCCAGGAGCTGGCTATCCTGGAGGTACTCAAAGACCACCTAGCGGTCCAGGCCCTCAGAGAGGATATCCAGGAGGGACAAATGGTCTTCAAGGTCCTGGTACACAAGGTGGACCCCCTACCAGCGGCTATCCTAGTAGACCAGGAGGTTATCCAGGCGGCCCAGGTCCGCAAGGACCAGGATTCCCAGGTGGACCAGGCCCGCAAGGACCAGGAGGATTTCCAGGTGGGCCAGGCCCGCAAGGACCAGGATACCCAGGTGAACCAGGTCCACAAGGCCCAGGAGGATTCCCAGGTAGGCCAGGTCCGCAAGCACCAGGCCCGCAAGGACCAGGAGGGTTCCCAGGTAGACCAGGCCCGCAAGCACCAGGCCCGCAAGGACCAGGAGGATTCCCAGGTGGGCCAGGCCCGCAAGCACCAGGCCCGCAAGGACCAGGAGGATTCCCAGGTGGGCCAGGCCCGCAAGCACCAGGCCCGCAAGGACCAGGAGGATTCCCAGGTGGGCCAGGCCCACAGGCACCAGGTCCACAAGGACCAGGAGGATTCCCAAGTGGGCCAGGCCCGCAAGGACCAGGAGGATTCCCAGGTGGACCAGGCCCGCAAGCACCAGGATTCCCGGGAACTGGTCATCCAATAGGTCCCGGTGAACCTGGAGAATATAGACCTGAAGATGAGGGAACATACGACGAAGGTGATTATTCAGCTATTCCGGGCGAACCTGGTCGCGATTATCCTATCTACAGTGAAATTCCGGAGACCAGTTTCCGTTGCGATGCCCAACAATTCCCTGGTTACTATGCCGACGTGGAAGCCCAGTGCCAAGTTTTTCACATATGTGCCAACAATAAAACCTACGATTTCCTTTGTCCAAACGGAACAATTTTCCATCAACAATTTTTCGTTTGTGTATGGTGGAATCAATTCGACTGTAACTCCGCGCCAAGCCTTTATTATTTAAATGAAAATATTTATGACTACACTATAATGGGAGCACAAGGTCAAGGACCTGCAGGACCTTCTAGGCCTAGTACTTATCCAGGAGGTCCAGGTGCTCCTAGTGGCCCAAGTGGTCCAAGTTATCCAGGAGGTCCAGGCGCTCCTAGTGGTCCCAGTTATCCAGGAGGTCCAGGCGCTCCTAGTGGTCCAAGTTATCCAGGAGGTCCACAACGTCCTGGCGGTCCAGGTTATCCAGGAGAGGGACCTCAAGGTCCATCAGGACCCCAAGGTCCGTCAAGGCCTAGCGGTCCAGGTTATCCAGGAGGACCGGGAGCTCCATCCGGTCCGGGATCGCAAGGTCCATCGGGTCGACCAGGTCCTGGATATTTAGGTCCGCCATCAGGACCACCGGGTCCTCAAGGACCTGAAGGGCCAGGTGGACCAGGATATCCTGGAAGACCTCAAGGACCTTCCGGACCTACTGGACCATCGACGAGACCTCAAGGGCCTAGTGGTCCGGGATACCCAGGACCAAGTGGACCATCTCCAGGATATCCAGGACAACCTCAAGGACCCACTGGTCCACAAGGTCCAAGCTTCCCGGGTGCACCAGGTCGTCCGCAAGGACCTAGTGGCCCAAATGGATATCCCAGCGGTAGACCAAGTGGTCCAGCATTCCCAAGTGGGCCTTCCGGGCCAGGAGGCATCCCTGGAAAACCTGAGACGGGTTCGCCGTTCCCGCCGCAAGGACCAGCGAAGCCTGATCGTGAGTACTTGCCTCCGCGGATTGGATAAACATGAAGCTAAACTTACGGCATCTAACGACAACTTTCATCGTTAAGGCCGGATGACGTGTAAATACGAGCCTCTATACTTGCGTATATGTAATAACTAAGTGATCGATTATTCGTATTGCATTTACACTTTTACATATAAGGAATTTGATTATTCTGCTTAACTGTTTATTTATCCTTTCTAGGATTTCCACGTAGATAATTGATGCTATTTATATCATTGTATGTGTTCTGATTAGCTTTAGTAGTAAAATATATTTATACAATATATATATATATTTTTTTTCATATTAACAATTATATTGAAGCATATAATTTAAACCATACTTCAATTTTATATTCATATGTTATAATATAAAACATATGTATTTTTTAAATATTTTATTAGTAAAATATAAAAAAATATTATTTTATCAAATTCTAAAAATTCTAGTATTAAAAGTTTTTGTCTTTTAGTCTTTTTGCTACATAGTTATTAAAGCAGCGTACAAAAAGCAGCATAAGAAATTGATGAAATGATCTGTCAAATTAAAAATGTTTGATTGCAATATAATTCAGTTTTTCAGATCTATTTGCCATTATTATTACATTAACGTACTTAATAAATCATAAGTTAATTTGGGCAATAAATATTTTTGATGTAAAATCGCATCAAGGAAGAGTATTTAACGGAAATCTTGTAATGAAATCATGAGTGAATAATATTAAGACCTATATGCTGGATGTATTCATCATCGTCCAATTACATCTTACTAATTAATTAAATTAGAAGTATTAAATATCTTTCATTATTATTGTTATTAAATAAACGTTAAATTCTAATCCAATTTCATATTCCTAATTCCTATACAGCAAAAATAATTATTAGTGCTACTATTAGTAATATTCTTAATATTAATTATAATAATAATATAACAATTACTAAAATTATTATTATTACTACAATCTGATCTTATCGATTAATTTGTATCAAAACGAAGCGAAGACGTTGATGGAATACATGTAGCTTGTAAGTAAGTATTAAAACGCGACATATTTATTTATTCAGCTTTAATGAAAATATGAACCATACCACTTATGATCTATCAAAAAAGATGAATCGGACGTCATGCGGATGTCATCGGTACTTAGATGTTTGTACGATTAGAAATAAGAATTTATTAATTAAATATAATCAAAACTACGTGAAAATTAATGTAACGAGGTATAGGGTTTTATATTTTAAGACAACCTTGCCTTATGAAGTGTGTCATATAATAACACTTTTAACACAGAGTTAATTATTATATTTATCAAACACAATATGATTGTAAAGATGCAATTTTTAACGATTTGTGCGACATATTTTCTTAGTATAATTGAAATTACAAGTTTATGTTTGTACAATTGTAATAGCAAATATTTTGTAAGTAAATTATAATATGTAAAACTGCGTCAAATACACTTTTTACAAGAATGTCTTCAAGAATTTCATAATTTTAAGAATCATATCTTTAAAGTGGAAGAAGCGTAATTATCATTTCGATAAAATAGTACCTAATTAATTATCGCGATCCAAAAATAACGAAGCAATGAGAGTCCGATTTCTTCCCGAAAAGTGTATCATTGTTATATATAATTATGCAACGCATGACATAATTAAATATATATATATATTTTTTTTTATAACAATGGTTAGAGACTCCTACGTGGGATGCCATTATGTATATTTTATGCGCGAAATAAAGGAAACACCTTTGCAAGAATTATGTTGTCTCTATTCACTATAGGTCCCGCGGGTTACTGAAATCCACGCGAGACGGTAACACACACGTGCGTTACTACACATAGCCTTTCCCTTTCCTCTCATTACTATAATTAGTCATTTCAAATTGTACGCGCCGGGGGTTACATAAATTCGTATGTACGCGGGCTACGTGCGATCATCGTTTCGCGATTTATACTTGCGTGTGTATTTCGCAACGCGCCGTCTCTTGTCTTCTGCGAGACGTGAGGTGAGTCAAGTTAAGTCGAGTCAAGTCGAGGCGAATCATTCGACGGGCAAATGATTTTGCGGATTCCCATGGCAGTGACGTTACATTAGATAAACGAGTTGTGAGAGGCCCGCTGCGGTTCGTTCACGCGTCTTAAATTGTCTGACATAGCTAACTGGGTCGTACGAAATACCTCATCCTGTTATTCACATCACTCTCGTCAGATTGTTCTAACGACGCGATGCACCACTCCAATGTCATTCCATCAAGAGAGAGAAAAACGAGGAAAAATGACACTTAATCATAGCGCGCGGGGTATCAGGTGCAATGGAAATAGACGCGCGTAAACCGCGGGATACGCGTCGGGATCGGTATATACCCGCAGTATAACAGAGTAACACAGGCAATTCCAGCCGGTTAGTAGTATCGCGCGAATAATCAGACGCCCGCTGTTGTAGTTTGTAATGAAAGGAGTTATACGCAAAGCCAATTAAACTTTGGTCTGGAAAACGGCTAGCTTCGGGCAAGATAACAAAGGTCAATGGCTAATTAACAACGCATGCAAATTAGGAACGTAATTTGTGTGCGTTGCTGAATATCGTAAACGCATTGCTTATTGTATATAGTATTGTTCTGTGTAAACGACTTGATAACGAAAACTATAGATACGAAAAATCTCTCGCGCGTCGCAGCTGCATTACAAATGCATACAGATTTTTATCTCAATTAAACAACAAATTACACGAGCTGTTTTATCGTGACTTAAAAAAATGTTTTAAAATAATTTTCAACGAAAATTTCATGGAAGATTATCCGGGATTCAATTTTAATTAAGATTAAAAATATAATTTTTAATATTTATTACTGGCAAGAATTTTATAAATTATTAATAGTAAATATCTTATTGTACATCTATTCTTTTTTTTTCGTAAAATATCCGCTATTTTTCCATAAAATATCAGGAGTTTGATAACGGAACGTGACGGTGTAAGCCGAAGATGAATCTCTTTCTTTCTGGGGTATTAAGAAATAATCAAAGGGCTGAAAAATAAAAGCGCGATGCAAATTGAAAATGTATAACGTAATACATTATGAGTCACTTTTCATGAATACATAATGGATGAGTCTACGACGAAACGCGAATTCCGTTTCGTCAGCGCGGTGCACGAAGGTCCCGTGGAGTACATGTATCCGCGAAAACGGTCTCGCTTGCACTTACATATATTTGGTGCAACAGCAAGGCGATGGTCGTGTGAAAAATGTAGAAATTAATGGGAAGGCGCCGCGCGCGCAGCTTAGAAATTACCGGCCCGTTACGCAAGCCAACCTTGAATGGCACGCGGACCATCTTGCTCGAAAAGTAGACCATCGGAGTGGTGATAGTGACGGATCACCTGTTAACAGATCTGACTTGCAACCTGACCTTTTGCAGCTGGTACTGACTCCACCGTAGACACGCAACGTCGACTATTTGTTGCGGGAAAGTAGAAATAGACGTACACACTTCTGTCCCTACCTTTATTTCTCTCTCGGCCAGCATTACCGTATGTGTAGTTAATTGGCGTGCGTAATTGAGCTTTACCTATGCATAATGGGAATAACTAACGAATCAGTCAAGCGAAGAAAATCCTATTCAAAGATGATTATATCACGTAGAGTACAGTGAAATTTTACACGCAATTTACGTGACGTTTTTACAACGTTAGTACAATCTGTTACTTTGTAAAAACATTCTGTAATATAAAATAAGTTAATTAACTGAAACTGAACAAGGTAAATGAAACATTTTCACAGAGAAAAGCAGTATCTCGTAGAAAATAGTGATTTAAAATGGTATTCTCTTTGCTTAGAGATAAACGTATATAAAACGGAAGTTAATTTCTTTTTTTTTTATTATTAAGAGGATTTATAACGCAGATTGCCGCAAATGTCTTTGAATTTAAGATAAAAAATGTATGCTCCGTGCAAAATGCTCATTAGTGACAATTTCAACTCTCGAGAACCGATACCTGTTGCATATCTAATGGCCATGTACACACTCGAAATGTAATGTTTTTTTTGCGATTTGTTAGCTCGAGACGCGCGCATGTATTTTAGCAGGGATATCATTCGATGGGCACGACAGAAATGCAACGATGACGAAATTTGTCAGCTCTTCAACTACCGACTACATTATTGCATCTCCCCGTGATACGATACGGACGATGAAACCCGCTGTCACGGAAAATAGGACGAAAAACGGCGGGCAGCAGATGGTGTAGCCAATATCGCAAGGCGATTTATGCAATTTCTAGATTGTAAATTGCAAATGACCGCGCGTGTTGCGGGATCTTCGGTTAAGGCAACACGTTTGCCTTTGTAAATTTTACGAATCGCAGACCGAACAACGTTCGCCTTATGGCGTCGCTACAAGAATCGATATAGCCTCTCTCTCCCTCTCTTCGAGCTTTACGATTTATGCAATAAATAAAAATGAACGCTGCAAAATATACCACCGTTGCAAAATATCATACAAGCTGTCTAGTCATTGTGCGTAATGATAGCTTTGTAGATTATTTACGAAATTTTGAGGATTATAAAAACATAGTTATTATACTTAGGTATGCTTTTATAGAAAAAGCAGCTGTTTGCGATTAACAGAATTTGATTTCTACACTGTTAAATCTATACAGTGTCAAATTTAACCTAATTTAAATCGCCACTGCTCCTACTCAATATATTGAGTATTTATACTAAAACAATGTATAAATTTGACGCTGTATAATGTCAAATTTATCTATTGTTTTAGTATAATATAATAATGTAATATATTGAGTTAAATTAGATTAAATTTGACACTATAAATTTAACAGTGTGTGCAAATAGTTGCAGCATTAATCCAAGGTAAGTACTGACATGTACGATCACAATAGAGCAATCTTGCAGATATAGTTAGTCAGAATGCATTAACAATGACGGGTGGCAACATTATGATGAAGCACAATCGGAAAGGCAAACGGGTTTCAATCGGTGCGTGCAACTCCAAACGTCGCGCAATGCAAGGCACGACGCGCAACCGGTTCGCCGGGTCAGTAACTGTCATTGCCAGGGTCTATCCCGGCACGCTGTTCGCAATAGACGCATTGTCGAGGCATGTAATTTGACTTCCGCGAATAATACGATGCGCTATGCAGCGTGTGACACGATGTTTATCGCGATTGAACGAGCAATGGATTT